GACTCTTCACCCGGGTTTCTTTCCGCTATATCCCCCGGGGGGGGGGCGAGCACTACCCCCGGGGAAACCCAAGTGCCCCCCCCCCCCGGAGCAAAAATATTTCCAACAATAAATCAGCTGGAACTGCCCCCCATTAACCCGAAAAATCTGGAGTGACCCCCACCCCCTCGGGGAAAAATTTCAGAAATAATCACTGCTCGTCACTTTGATAACACAATTTATTGATAGAAACAAGCTCCCTGATACTTCAAGATGTTGTAGCCGGGAAACACTAAACACTGAGTAGTGTGTGCTATTTTCACATGTGACATGCTACAGTGATGGTTGTAAATAGCCATTGGTTTGGTTCTGCAATCGGTGCAGAACGACGTGCGATTTGAAATCCAACCATTTTAAGTCATTCATTGGGCTTGATGGAACAACTTGGATCGTTTAGCTCGATAAAACAACTTGGATCACTGAGTTATATAAACAATATATATTGTTGAGTTCTATAAACAAAATGGATCTTTGAGTTCCATAAACAACTTGGATCATTGAGTTCTGTAAAACAACATGGATCTTTGGTTTCTATAAACAAAAGAGATCGTTGATCTTTGGGTTCTACAAAAAGATAGATCATTGAGTTCTATAAACCACATGGATCCTTAGGTTCTATAAATAAAATGTATCTTTGAGTTCAATAAACAAAGTAGATCATAGACTTCTATAAATAACATGGATAGCTCAGTTCTAAAAATAACATTGTTAGTTGAGTTCTAAAAACAAAATAGATCGTCGAGTTCTATAAACAACATGGATCATTGAGTTAATAAAAAACATGGATCATTGAGTTTATAAACAACATGGATCATTGAGTTTATAAACAACATGGATCATTGAGTTTATAAAAAACATGGATCATTGAGTTAATAAAAAACATAGATCATTGAGTTTATAAACAACATGGATCATTGAGTTAATAAAAAACATGGATCATTGAGTTTATAAACAACATGGATCATTGAGTTTATAAACAACATGGATCATTGAGTTACTTAAAAAATGGATCATTGAGTTTTATAAACAACATGGATCATTGAGTTTATAAACATCATGGATCATTGAGTTTATAAACAACATAGATCATTACGCTCGATAAACAACGTTGATTGTTGAGTTCCATTAAAAAAAGGTAATTAAACTAAAAAGAAAAAGCATAGACATTTTAATTTAGTTATTTCTATGGTAAAGCCAACCATATAAAAAATATATATAGATATGCTTCGCCCTGATGATACAGAAAGCCCCAAAATAACAACAACACTTGTAACAGACTGCAAGAGGAAAGTACGAAGTCAGGCACGCAGAGGCTGGATGCCGTAGCTTTGAACGGGCGCCGATACCCAGGCGTCTCCTGCCACAAGCACTTACCGAGCGATATCGGACATCCTGTGCTCCGTATACGGCAAGCCGAAGTCTTTGGCCTTTGGCTTTGGATTCACGGATACTCTTCTCTCCATTGTTGACCGTCTACGAGGGGGGCAAGCAGATTAACTCGGAACACACGCTGAAGCAATGTGTGCGTGTGAGTGATCGTGTGGCTCAAAGCTCCTGGAAGCGTGTGGCATGGAATCCAATACTGACAAATAAATGGAAGAATACGGGAAAAACTTTGCGGTTCGCAAAGTACTTCCCGACTCTTTAAACTCCAAATATAAGTATAAGCTACACGAAGGACACCTAGGTTCACGTGAGGTGCGGATGAGTACAGACACGCCCTGATACATTGTTGATCATGTGAACGCATTTTTTTAGCGTGCATATCTCAAATCAAAAGAGAGAAAGTTTTAACTTTTTTTCTTAATGCTCATTATTTGATTGGAACCGAACAATAGAATTAGAAATACAGATTATAATGTACCGATGAACACGGTAGATATCCAACTAAAGCTTTTGAAATAAATATTGAATCAAGTATCGCAAAGAATTTTTTTTTAAAACCACAAATTAAAAAAAAAAATCCAATGACACATATCAATTGAAATCGCAAACCCTTTTTTCAGTTCTAGTTTGAAAAAAAAAAAATATGGCTTAGATTTTAAAACATTTTTTCAATGAAACCAACGATCAAAGTTATTTATATGTATCTGGTATGTAGCTGATTTAGTTGTTTAATACATTGTTACATTCAATTGTTTTGTGTTTATTTATTTTTTAACATAATTATTATTACTTTTTATACTTTTTTTTAGGGGGGGTGGGTGGGAGGAGGGGGTGGTTATGGTTTACATTATAGCCGTCAATTTCTATTCACTAACATTTAACTTTGTTTTGAATAAATTTTGTTTTTGTTTTCTTTCGAACTTCAATTAAATCTGGATAGTCCACGTAAATTAATTAGAATTTTTTTTTTTAATTTTAAGTACGGTATACAAAATAAATTTCTGAGCGTCAATTATTCCGTCTCAGAAGAAGAAAAAGTACAACCACTTGAAGTTTTCTTTAGCAGACAAAGACGAACAAGCTCACTTCAGGTTATTATTAAAAGACATTCAGTGTTATGATGGACAACACCACATATTGACCACAACATAACTGCACCCCTGCATATACTCATTATGAACTCTGCTGCCCATCTCCCTTTCTTACCTGTTCTACGCACATCTTGTACAATTTGCTCAGTCAATCTGTTTAAAACGCTTTAATCTGACTAATTCCAATAAAAAGGCACCACGATTTGTAGCAATAATTCTATAAATGTTAATAAAACAATGCAACAAAAATTATTTGATCAGACTTTATTTCTTAAAATTATTAAGCTAGTCTTCTTCATCAAATGGCAATGCAGTTGACATGACGTTTATTTCAATAGTGTTATTTATTATAAACGTATGTAATAAAGTTAGGTCATGCCCATATGTATTTAAAGTGTATGTTCGTCTTTTTTTCCCCCATTGTCCTACTCGTATGTTACTTGATATAAAATAATATTGTCGATAATAAGAACATTGGCTGTCGAAAAAAACTCTCTCATTCAACGTGTTCATTTCTCACTTGTGTATATCTTGGGATGTTTGGGATGTATCTTGTGTTGATTTTTTTTTTAATATCATTGTAGATGTATTTTAGTGTTCGAATTTAATTTTTATATTATTATATATTTTGTTGTTACTGTTTTGATTTGCTATTTATGTTTTGATTCGTTTTGTTTTCTGTTCTTGTTTTTTACTTTTTAAAAATTCTGTAAACTTTTTTTTTTTTTTTTTTTACAAAAATTTTTTTTTTTTTTTTTTTAATTTGTGTTTTTGTTTTTTGTTTTTTTTTTTTTTTTTGTTTTTGTTTGTTTTTTTTTTTTTTTTTTTTTTTTTTTTTTTTTTTTTTTTTTTTTTTTTTTAAATTTTTTTATATTTTTTTTTTTTTTTTTTTTTACAAAAATATCTTGTTACTGTTTTGTAAAATGTGTTGTTGCGTTTTGTTGTTGTTTATTCTTTTGTGTGGAATCTGCTAAGCTGAGTACACGGAAAGCTTTTGCTTCTGCTTTCCTTTCTTCTCGTCTTCAACTGTTGTTGTTAGTTGTTTTAATTGTTTGTTGTTGTTGTTTTTTCTATTCATCCATTGTTCTCAAAGTTCATCACCTTTTAGAGACACTCCAAAACCAGCCACGACCAAAACAATAACAGCATTTTCTTTTTAAACTTATCGTCACAGGGCTAGTCACTCAAGTCGATGTCTCGTTCTGTAGTCTTCCAACATTCAAAATTCTTGTCAGATACACTGCTGAACAGCATGCTCTTCACCACGTCACACCACAAAATCCCGTGAACAGTCTGATATTCTGTCATTCCTGTTCTCAGCCCTTTCCCGCCATTTACCCACCAAGCTCACTGCCAAACATCTCCACCTTTTTTTTTTTTTTTGTTTGTTGTAAGACGTGTTTACAACAGGTTAAATTGCGCGCTTTTCACACGGAGCTCATTTCTTGTGCGGTAAATCAAGGGAGCTTCCTGAACTCGCGGTGAAGGCTTCCGACATCCGGGAGTATGTGGCCATCTCTTGGAGGATCGTTCTGGTCAACCCGACCAGGTAGTCGATCGGTTTGTCAGGTCTGTTTATTATAAGGGACTGCAGCAAGAACTGTGGGGGGAGATGAGGTTTACAATATATGTTAAAATATCGTGTATTAATCTTAAGATTTGAACAGTGCACCTGATATTTTTTTCTCTATGTATGAATATATTAAAGTACAGATTTGACTTTTGTTCACTTTTTTTATGAATTGAAGGNTTTTTTTTTTTTTTTTTTTTTTTTTTTCATTTAAATTTGAGTAGTTGGGAGTTAAAGAAAAATGAACGGGGGGGGGGGGGGGGGGGGATTTTTGAATTACTGAAAACTAATGTTTCAAATAGCCTTTATTTATGTTATATGTATCACAAACTTTGTTTTTTTTTCCTATATTTCTATTATATATATTATGAGGGCCCACGATCAATGTATTGATCTTTCTGGCTAATTTTTGAACGTATACTCAACCATTTAACGCAGTCGTAAATCTCCCATTAGGTTTACACAATCATTTAACTCTATCTGTACAACTTCCTTTACACGCACACAGTTCTGTAACCTACTTTTAACAGTTCCGTGATCCCAAACTTAGATATGTAGAGCTTGGCCTCGGTGCGAGGAGAGGCAGGTGGGTAGTTACAGCCGTCCAGGTCCATGATGGGAATATTGTAACTACTCTGGGTTGTTCTCGCCAGCTGGTGATCAGATGTGTTTTCTTTTATAACTCAACAGTGTAATGGTCGAATTTTGTGAGTTAACCAATGATTGATTGAGATGATGAAAGAATTGACAAATGATTGACAGGGATGATGAATGAGTTGACCAATAACTGATGGGGCTGATGAATGAGTTGACAAAATATTGACAGTGCTGACGAATGAGTTGACAAAATATTGACAGTGCTGACGAATGAGTTGACAAAATATTGACAGTGCTGACGAATGAGTTGACAAAATATTGACAGTGCTGAATTAATGGGTTCACCAATGGTTGACAGAGCAGATTAATGGGTTCACCAATGGTTGACAGAGCAGGTTAATGGGTTCACCAATGGTTGACAGAGCAGGTTAATGGGTTCACCAATGGTTGACAGAGCAGGTTAATGGGTTCACCAATGGTTGACAGAGCAGGTTAATGGGTTCACCAATGGTTGACAGAGCAGGTTAATGGGTTCACCAATGGTTGACAGAGCAGGTTAATGGGTTCACCAATGGTTGACAGAGCAGATTAATGGGTTCACCAATGGTTGACAGAGCAGGTTAATGGGTTCACCAATGGTTGACAGAGCAGGTTAATGGGTTCACCAATGGTTGACAGAGCGGGTTAATGGGTTCACCAATGGTTGACAGAACAGGTTAATGGGTTCACCAATGGTTGACAGAGCAGGTTAATGGGTTCACCAATGGTTGACAGAGCAGGTTAATGGGTTCACCAATGGTTGACAGAGCAGGTTAATGGGTTCACCAATGGTTGACAGAGCAGATTAATGGGTTCACCAATGGTTGACAGAGCAGATTAATGGGTTCACCAATGGTTGACAGAGCAGGTTAATGGGTTCACCAATGGTTGACAGAGATTATGCATGTGTTTGACAATGATTGACAGAACTGATGCATGCGATGAATGCGTTGACCAATGATTAACAGAGCTGATGCATGCGTTGGATAATTATTGACTTAGCTGATGCATGCGTTGGGCAATGATTGACAGTGGTTAGCAAGACAAGATAAATCAGCAACACAATTTTTGTAGAAAAGAAAACTTGGCAGTTACTTGGATGATCAGATAGCATAGTTGCATATATTGAACACATATCTAAACATACACTGTTAGAACAGACGGATTACAATCGCATCTCAGCCGGTATACAAATAGAACACTCGGATTTAGACCAAAAAATCAGATTTGAAGCCCAGGCCAAACTCCAAGTTACGAGACTCAAATCAAAAGCAACACGCCTACAGATTTTGCATACTTTCAACATCGCAGGCAGAGTGTCGTCCAGCGTCGGAAGTCGGACGTTCAGGGCTGGCTTCGTGGAAGACGCTTTCTGACCGACCACATCCCACCCAGAGAATGGTCTTTCCAACGTGATTCTCGGGGGAGGCTTAATTGGTTCCGGCGGTGCCGGCTTGCTCAGTTGGCTCAAAAACAACGCCCTCGCTTTCTTCCTATTTTTGGCCGACAGCAGGTTGGTGCTTCCAATGTGGGGCAGGTGGAGCTGTTTTAAACGATGGCTGTCGCTGTCGGAACTACGACTGGTCGTCTCGCTGTCGTGACTTCTGGTCTTGCTTGTGCTGGTGCTGCTGCTACTGCTACTGCTGCTGCTACTGTGGTCTGTGGAGAATACTTCTACAGAGCTCAGATCGTCATCTGTGTAGCTGTACTGGGAATCAATCTGAGGAAGGGGAAATTATACCGTCTATAATAAATAGAACGATTGCTTTAGTGATATACCCCTTGTTGAGTTTGGTCAAATAAGAGATGCTTCATTTCACGTGCACGGAAACAAAAGGGCTGAAGAGTAAGAAGTTTTGATACGTGTAAAATTTTATAATGGTCTTGAAATATCAAAGAACGAATTTGTCATTTACCCAGTGTTGGTAACAGATCTACTACGCACTGTTCTTTGCATGTACATAAATTAAAATAACGACAGGAAAACACTGTGAGAAATGGAATGTGATTGTGTAGTTGTTGTTTTTTATCCAGTGTATCCATCTATGTCAGAAAGCAAGCTTTAGCTCTACCAAGGAGAGAGAATCTTTTGCATTTTTTAAATTAAAAAAAAAAAAATAAAAACAAGTCCACAACACAGGATCTCAACACAAACAACTTGGTTGGCTGCACAAGAACGGTGTGGATACATCTATTGAAAGCATCACTCCCACTAGCCCCCATATTTATATATTCGAAACACTGTCTTATAGTTTTCTAATTACTCACACGGAGTCGTTGCTTGGGCTATTCATGCGGCCTATCGGGGGCCTCGTATATTTAAAAGGTCACAAGTTTTTGATGCTTAAATAATTAAAATGTCAACATTTAATGAAGGGAGTAACGAACAGAAAGTCGTTGAGGGTGTGTTTTTTTTTTTTTGTTTTTTTTTTTTTTTTTTTTTTTTTTTTGTTGTTTTTTTTTTGGTTTTTTTTTTGGGGGGGGGGGGGTTCCAGAATTCACGTGTGTGCTCTGCTGACGAACTGATAGGTCTCTAGTCGGTTGGTGACTAACGATCTATCGCTTGACTAAGCTAATGTCCCGGCATTGTCGTAAGACGCATTAACTCCTGTTAACATACAAACACTTTGCACTCCGTTAATTCTACTTACATTGGGGAGGGTAACGTCGCTGTATCGAGCCCTGGTCTTGGCTGAAATCTGAAGAAAGAAAACAAAACAAAACAACAAAAGAAACAAATGACTTATAAGTTGTTGATGCACATTTATAATTATACATTTAAAAAGGTTTAAAAGTTAACGTTCCTGTTTAGGAAAAAAAAGGGAAAAGGGGGGGGGGGGTTAATGAAGAATATTCTTCGTTAATTGAAGTCAATTGTAAAGCCTTGAGGCTAGATGTTGGTTAGAGGCTTCACGAGTGAGGCTTCATGTTATTATATAAAGAGGTTTAGAATTTGATAATCGTCACTCATGTAAGGGAACGAACTCACTTTCATAATTAGGGTAAAAATTACCTATGGGGACAGTGGACAATTGATTACCTTAGTATTCTTTGACTTATTACTTCATTAACCATTCAACTGATTACTTTATTAATATTTCAATTCATTAATTTATTAATTTCTGAATTGTTTTATTAATCTTTAAGTTGATTGCTTTATTTATATTTCATTTAATTACTTTATTAATCATTCAAACGATTACTTATTAAGACTTTGATTGGCTACTTTATTAATCATTCAAACGATTACTTATTAAGACTTTGATTGGCTACTTTATTAATCATTCAAACGATTACTTATTAAGACTTTCATTGGCTACTTTATTAATCATTCAATGTATTACTTTGTTAATCTTTGAATTAATTACTTTACAATCTCTGAATTAATTACTTTTTTTAATCTTTCAACTCATTAATTTATTAATCTTTCATTTGATTACTTTGTTTTCAGTTGAACTAATTATTCCTTCAAATTTTCTTCATACGGTTTAATAAATAAATAGTGAAATTGAAATATTTTTTTTAAAACTATATTTTTAAAGAGCTTTCTGCAATATTTTTTTTTCTTTCATTTAATTGTCACATAGGATACTGATGGTCAGAAATTGTAAGATTGATGGTACTAAGGGCTTCAACGAAAATGGGAGTGGGAGGCAGTTGCTGAAGTAGGGTAGGTTATAATCTATAGTTTAGGTAAAATGAAGAAAATTGTCAATGTTCCAATTACTGTGACACGTGCTCAATGTTCCACTTACTATGACACTTGCTCAATGTTACACTTACTATGACACTTGCTCACTTTTCCACTTACTATGACACTTGCTCAATGTTCCACTTACTATGACACTTGCTCACTTTTCCACTTACTATGACACTTGCTCAATGTTCCACTTACTATGACACTTGCTCACTGTTCCACTTACTATGACACTTGCTCAATGTTCCACTTACTATGACACTTGCTCACTGTTCCACTTACTATGACACTTGCTCACTGTTCCACTTACTATGACACTTGCTCAATGTTCCACTTACTATGACACTTGCTCAATGTTCCACTTACTATGACATTTGCTCACTGTTCCACTTACTATGACACTTGCTCAATGTTCCACTTACTATGACACTTGCTCACTGTTCCACTTACTATGACACTTGCTCACTGTTCCACTTACTATGACGCTTGCGCAATGTTCCACTTGCTATGACATTTGCTCAATCTCCACTTGCTATGACACTTGCTCAATGTTCTAATAATTATGACTCTAGCTTTTTCCCACCCCCGTTCCATAATTTATTCGTGATATGGATGTGCTATTGCTAAAATTGAACATACGTCACTAAATATGCTTGGGAACCTGCCCTCCCTTGATGTAGATGCAGCGATGGAGCTCTGTGGAACAAACAAATAAACATGTATCTTTAATTATTGTTATTTTTCTTTTTTAAATACTTTCATAACTGAATTGATAGAATTGGTTAAGAGTATTTACCTCCCAATGGAATACAACTAAAAGAGAGAATGTTTATTGAAGCTACCAAATGCAACAGTAAGCTTTCCCCATTAGTCTCTTGGCAAGTGTAAATCATCAAAAGTGCAAGATGGCCTGCATAACCAGAGCTTCTTATTTTCAAAGGACAACCGATTTGGACTAAAGAGTGGTTTCGTATTGGATCATCTTGGACACGGGCTGAGGAGGCTTCATGACATCACAATCGGTCTGTAACGGGCTCTTTTCTTCAGGGGCCCGATTACGTTAACTAGCATATGCGATGATTAAGGTGGTCGTAGTCATTTCCGCTGACTAAATTATTACGAAAAAAGGGGGGGGGATTAGCGTGCCTTTGACCCGACATGTCTTTCTCCGTTTCTTTAAGTCCACCTTATTAAATTAAAAATGAATATTTTTAAAATGTGATGAAACGGAAAAATGAAACGACGAAAATAGGTTCTCAGCAAAATAATTATTAGGTAAGTAGCACTTTAAAAGTGAGTAGTGGTGAAAATTAAAACCAAAAAAATTATTTGGAATTGCAAAAGTCAAACAGTTCACCCACAAAAATCTCTTGTTTTGGAAATTATTTGAAATAGTTGTGTTGAGCTAAACTTATGTCCCCTCGGAGGACATCATTTGATTTTAATGGATCAACCGTGTGTGTTCTATTTTTTAAGAGACCTGTATGCATCACTGATAATCCCGATAATAAACGAATGATGAAAAAATATTTTAAAAATGGTGTTAATTTCACTAACCCCTAGACTTCCCCTTTTTTCTCGTTTCTCCAATCCAAGTTTTGAAAGTCTTTGTTCCGGAGATGTCCTCGTCTTGTCTCTTCTGAACTTAGCATCGGAAGTCTGCCCAGCTCCTTCAGTCATGTCGTCGTCATCCCTCTTTCGTCTTTCCCTTCTGTGTCTTCCTGCCTCTCCGAAGAGATCTTCCTCTGAAATACCCTTACTTGTCGGTGTCTTATCTTTACTTTTACTTTTTTTGCGAGATAGATTCCGTTCGCTTGACACAGGGCTTTCATTTGGTGAGTAGTCCTCTATATCCACCGTAGAAGATGACATTTTCTTACCGCCTCTTTTTGGACTTCGCTCTTCTTCGTAAGACCGTCTCAAATCTGTACTTCTTTTGCGAGAAAATGCAGGACCTCTTTCCCTTACATCTGTACTTCTTTTACGTGAAATTGAAAGACGCCCTTCTTTGTCTTCCTCAATTCTCTCGCGAGATGTTGGAGGAATTCTTTTCCTTCTGTCTTTACTTCTTTTACGTGAAACTGAAGGACTTCCTTCCTGGTCTTCTTCACTTTTCTCATGAGAAATTGGAGGACTTCTTTTCCTTCTGTCTTTACTTCTTTTACGTGAAACTGAAGGACTTCCTTCCTGGTCTTCTTCACTATTCTCACGAGATATTGGAGGACTTCTTTTCTTTCTGTCTTTACTTCTTTTACGTGAAACTGAAGGACTTGCATCCTGGTCTTCTTCACTTCTCTCACGAGAAATTGTAGGACTTTTTTTCCTTCTGTCTTTACTTCTTTTACGTGAAACAGAAGGACTTCCTTCCTGGTCTTCTTCACTTCTCTCATTAGAAATTGGAGGACTTCTTTTCCTTCTGTGTTTACTTCTTTTACGTGAAACTGAAGGACTCCCTTCCTGGTCTTCTTCACTTCTCTCATGAGAAATTGTAGGACTTTTTTTCCTTCTATCTTTACTTCTTTTACGTGAAACTGAAGGACTCCCATCCTGGTCTTCTTCACTTTTCTCATGAGAAATTGTAGGACTTCTTTTCCTTCTATCTTTACTTCTTTTACGTGAAACTGAAGGACTTCCTTCCTGGTCTTCTTCACTTCTCTCATGAAAAATTGGAGGACTTCTTTTCCCTCTGTGTTTACTTCTTTTACGTGAAACTGTTGGACTTCCTTCCTGGTCTTCTTCACTTCTCTCATGAGAAATTGGAGGACTTCTTTTCCTTCTGTGTTTACTTCTTTTACGTGAAACTGAAGGACTCCCTTCCTGGTCTTCTTCACTTCTCTCATGAGAAATTGTAGGACTTTTTTTCCTTCTATCTTTACTTCTTTTACGTGAAACTGAAGGACTCCCTTCCTGGTCTTCTTCACTTCTCTCATGAGAAATTGTAGGACTTTTTTTCCTTCTATCTTTACTTCTTTTACGTGAAACAGAAGGACTTCCTTCCTTGTCTTCTTCACTTCTCTCATTAGAAATCGGAGGACTTCTTTTCCTTCTGTGTTTACTTCTTTTACGTGAAACTGAAGGACTCCCTTCCTGGTCTTCTTCACTTCTCTCATGAGAAATTGTAGGACTTCTTTTCCTTCTATCTTTACTTCTTTTACGTGAAACTGAAGGACTTCCTTCCTGGTCTTCTTCACTTCTCTCATGAGAAATTGTAGGACTTTTTTTCCTTCTATCTTTACTTCTTTTACGTGAAACTGAAGGACTCCCTTCCTGGTCTTCTTCACTTCTCTCATGAGAAATTGTAGGACTTCTTTTCCTTCTGTCTTTACTTCTTTTACGTGAAACAGAAGGACTTCCTTCATGGTCTTCTTCACTTCTCTTAAGAGAAATTGGAGGACTTCTTTTTCTTCTATCTTTACTTTGTTTACGTGAAACTGTTGGACTTTCTTCCTGATCTTCTTCACTTCTGTTACGAGAAACTGGAGAACTTCTTTGCCTTTTGTCTTTACTTCTTTTACGCAATATTGTAGCACCTCCTTCCTGGTCTTCTTTATTTCTCTCACGAGAAATTGGAGGACTTCTTTTCAGCCTGTCTGTACTTCGTTTACGCCAAATTGAAGGCCTTTCTTCTTGGTCTTCTTTACCTCTCTCATGAGAAATGGGAGGACTTCTTTGACTTTTGTCTGTATGCCTTTTACTGGAAATTAAAGGACTTTCTTCCTGGTCTTCTTTACTTCTACGTCTAGAAATTGAAGGAGTTATTTCTCTTACGTCTTTACGTCTCTCTCGGTACGCTGAAGGACTTTTTTTCTTTGCTTCCAGACTGGTTTCGTCAGAACTTGATGGACTTTCTTCCACAAACTCCTCACTACTTTGGGTTTTTTCCTTTGATTTTTTTCTCCGTTGTCGAGAAATCGAAGATCTTTTCTGCTTTACCTCCGTACCTCTTTTACCAGAAATCGAATTAATTTCTTCCCCTTCCTCTTTACTTTGTTGGCGAGATACTGAAGGACTTCTTTCCCGTGTCTTTTTAGTCCTGTGTCGAGAATGAGCACTCATTTCCCTTGCCTCTTGACTTATTTGACGAGACATCGTAGGGCGGTCTTCCTGATGCTCTTTACTTCCTTGACGAGAAGTTGGCGGACTTTTTTCCTTAGCCTCCCTACTGGATTGATGTGAAGGGCTCCTGTCTCTTGTCTTTTTTCTTCTTTCACGAGAAATATAGGGTCTTTTTTCGCTTGCCTCTTTTCTTTTTTTGCGAAGTATTGACGGACTTATTTCCCGTACGTCCTTACTTCTTCCAGTGGGAGTTTTTTTTTTTGCTTCTTTCCACCTTTTGCGAGAAGTTGGACTTACTTCCCCTGTTTCTTCGAAGCTCTCACTGGAGATTGATGAAAGCTCCTCACTCGACTCTCCACTCGCTTGACGAGAAGCGGGAGGACTTCTTAATTTTGCATAGTTGCGTTTTCTCTTGTGGGACATGGGAGGACTTTTTATCCTTGCTTCTTTTCTTCTTTGACGAGGGGTATGTGCCTCTTCCCATTCCTCTTCGCTACTTTGATTAGATGCTGCTGAAGATTCCTCACTTGACTCTTCACTTTCACTACGAGAAATGGTCGGAGCCACCTCCTTCGAGTGTTTACCTTTTGGAAGAGAAATGATTTTACTTTCGTCTGCATCCTCGTCATTCTTTTGAGGCCTTGACTCCTTACTTCTTTCAAGAGTAAATGTTGGACTATCAAACTTATTTTCATGACTTCTTTGGCGAGACACTGCAGGACTACCTGCTTTTGAACCTTTTTTTCTTTTAAGGTACAGTTTTTGGCTTTGTTGTTTCATAACTTTTATTCCAACACCCTTTCCCATCTCAGGCGATGCATACGGCATCTCATCATCTACCTCATCCGTTTCCTTCAGCGAATCTTCCGTCAGCCGCTCCTGTCTTTTCCGAAACTCTTCCAGACTGTCCAGTTTTTGTCTACCTTTCGATACATCTGTGGACGACGATTTTCTGCGCTGCAACGGGTTCTCATCGTAGTATCTCAGAAGTCTCTCGCGCTCTTGAGCTCTGGTCTCAACACTGTCGTCTTGTCTTCTTCTGCTGGCTAAACCGGGATCTCTCTCTAAATCTGTCCGATTTAACTCAGCATCTCTTGCTGGAGGACCTTGTTTCGTCTCCTGTGCCTCTAAGATGAGCAGCTTCGAGGAAGCACCTTCAAGGAGGCTTGACACACGTTGACCGTCTTCCTTTCCCGACCTGTCGGCTCTACTCAGAGCAGTGAAGTCGTCAATGGCATTGTCTGTTATCATCCTCGATGTAACTTTCATGATCCTTTTAACCATGTCTTTGAAAGAAACCTTTTGCATTGTTATTTGTTCTTGAGCTTTTTCCTCCTTTTGTGCCTTCTTTGAGCTGAGCTCATTAAACACTGAATAAATATCTCGTGGTGGATGCTGGGGTGAATGATAAGACATTAATAGAAATCACGCTCCTGGATTTACACTAAAAGTATGTCTAAGCTATAGTGGGTTTTTTAAGTTATACTTAATTGGTGCCTCTGATACGTTATTCGTACTTTACATGGGTTGAAGTCATAAAAAGTGATTAATGTCTAAATATTATTTTGACATACCTTCACATTACAAACTAATTTATAATGTACTTAAAAGATTATAACATATTACCAGAAGATTAAAGGTATAAACAAGACAATGATTCTCTATAAAAATGTCATAAATGATAAAGCTATTTACATCCACGAAGCTACTAATCTTTCTAAGACTACAACATCCACTAAATTTTACTGTGATTAGACAGTCATACCTTGGGGACACGAGGGGCTGATTTATCCTCAGTCGCTGGCTAAAACGTTTAAAAACAACGCAATCACATTTACAGATGAGAAGAAGTTAAATTAGAATCAAAGAAACATTTTACAAATACTTAAAATAGATATATTTGTTATGTTTCTTATTATCATATTCTTTGTATCTATATTTAAATGTTTTAATTATATTTCTGTTTCAAAATTTTTTTTAAAATAAAAAAAACAAACTTTTATTGATTTAAAAATTGATTGAGATGCTTAATTCAAGGCAAATCGATACCATGGTTATATTTCTCTACCTGCTGCTGGTTGAAATAAAAAACAATTCAACATAGTTCATGACTACACGCCGTTGATTCTAAGGTGTAAAAAAATGTACTCACTTTCATCTGTGTCTGGATAAAATCTTTAATGACAGATGGACTCTGTTGAGATAAAAATGGTTCACTCATCATAGTTACTACAGAATTTTATGGTTTAGATACTCAAGATCTGTATTATTATTATCATTATCATTATTATTATTTTTATTATTATTATTATTATTATCAATAATGGAGAAGCATATTTTTTGGCTCAGTAGTATATTTTTAATAAAATAAAATAATGAATGTACTCCGGATATTTTGGGAAATCTATGAAAAGAAGTTTGGCTTGAGATATGAACTGAAAATGAAATTTAAATAAAAGCCGGTGTGGGCTGTGAGATACCAAATAATCCTTTTTGTGAGAATTGTATAAAAAGTGTGTATGTCATATGTCAAATAATACTGGAGTGAAATATGTACGGGCTGGTTATTGTTGGCAGGAGACATCTACAAGTTGGTGTGAGACATGTCGATGTTGGTGCCAGGCACGTAAATGATGGTGTGAGACATGTCGATGTTGGTGCCAGGCACGTAAATGATGGTGTGAGGCATGTCGATGTTGGTGCCAGGCACGTAAATGATGGTGTGAGGCATGTCGATGTTGGTGCCAGGCACGTAAATGATGGTGTGAGACATGTCGATGTTGGTGCCAGGCACGTAAATGATGGTGTGAGGCATGATCAAGGCGTGCGAGACATGTACACGTCGTTGCGAGACGTTGTGCGAGTTGACGGGAGACGTGTACAAGTGATTGCGAGACATGTACACGTCGTTGCGATACGTTGTGCGAGTTCACGGGAGACGTGTACAAGTGATTGCGAGACGTGTACAAGTCGGTAAGATTTTTACGACAGCTCACCTCCTGGTTGACGTCATCCCACCGTCCACTGAACCTTTTGGGGGCCGGAGCTAATGGGAAACGAAAAGCAAAATCTTGTGAGTGTCGGATTTATGAAAATTGTATTAAAAATGAACGTATGACTGTATGGCTGAAACGCTAAGAGGACAAGCTTTGGAACGATGTTACTATTTTAAGAAAACGCCGTTGGGTCACCGCTTAACAAAAAAAAAAAAACCACTCTTGAACACAAATACATTTTTATTTTAAAAATTAACAAGAGATTCAATCTTTGAAATACTTTTACACTTTCAGAACAAGCATAGATTCCCTTTACAATTCCTAGAACATTGTTTTCGCTATATCAACCAATATATGTTTTTGATTGTTTGAATATTTAAAAAAAAAAAAAAGAAATTTCTTTACCCGAAAACTAAAAGTCATATTCAGTGCATGAAAAAATCCGTCAATTTTGATGGGGCAATACATTAGATTTAAAAATTAACAAGAAATTCAATCTTTGAAATACTTTTACACTTTCAGAACAAGCATAGATTCCCTTTACAATTCCTAGAACATTGTTTTCGCTATAACAACCAATATATTTTTTTGATTGTTTGAATATTTAAAAAAAAAAAAAAGAAATTTCTTTACCCGAAAACTAAAAGTCATATTCAGTGCATGAAAAAATCCGTCAATTTTGATGGGGCAATACATTAGACTCGTACACTATTTATATTACTTATCGAATATGATGTGAAGAATTTTTTTTTTTTTCAATTTTAAGAAACAAAAAAAATCTGTAGTTCTTGAAGATTCCATCATGTTAAAATGGTTATAATAATAATTCTCTTAGTACGTGCGCATGGCTGTAATGACGTATTCATTTGGCGGGCGAAACAAAATTCCCAGAAATGACCACTAGTCTGGGATTCACATGTAATGTGCGTTAGTTGAACACATTGTTTTGTCACGAATCTTTAGATGGAAAGTTCACGCACCGCGGCCGCCGTTGCTTGTCGGGTTATTGCTGGAATATGTAGTTTCAAAATACCCTCTGTTCCTTGCAGTCCACGTAACCGCTATCCAACTTCCCCCACAGTGCCACGTCCCTCACTACCAAAATGTTATCCCGCGCACAAGCCTTTAACACGCTCAAAACAACAATTCCAAGAAGCGTTTACAAAAAATGTTAAAGATTTGTTCGCCTTAACTTAGACTAAAAAGGAAATGGAAAAAAACAAATTTTTAATTTGATTTCCAGATAAATAATAATAATGGATCACTGCTCTATCGGGGGAAAAAATGTGGAAAGATATAACTCAACTGAAGTAGGTCTTCATTAATGTTAGAGAAAGACTCTGGCAAGAGATGGTGTATCGAAACTAGGTCTTGATAATATTAGACAAAGCCTCTTGCTGGAAAAGACGCATCAAAGCTATGTCTTGATTACTATTACAGAAAGAATCATGCTAGAAATGGCGCATGGAATCTAGGTCTTGATTACTATGACAGAAAGAATCATGCTAGAAATGGCGCATCGAAGCTAGGTCTTGATTACTATTGCAGAAAGAATCATGCTAGAAATGGCGCATCGAAGCTAGGTCTTGATTACTATTACAGAAAGAAGCATGCTAGAAATGGCGCATGGAATGTAGGTGTTGATAATATGACAGAGAGACTCCTGCTAGATATGGCTTATAGAATCTTATGTCTAGCTAAATTCTAGTCAACTGTTCACATGGGCATATATATTTGTTTTTAAAACGTATTTAAAATGATTAATTTCATCAAAAGCCATTCTTACCTTCTTTGTGTTTGTCCACGTGCTCCGAGGTGGGCCCGGTAACTTGGTCAGCACCACGTATGCTCTCCGAGCTGCGCGTCTTGTGGCTGAATTTCCACAAGTTGTGAAGTTTCCTAGCGACGGTCAGCATGCGAAGGCCCGGTCTGTCGCCGTACGCTGAGGGGGAGCCGATCTCGTGAGATGCCTCCTTGGACTCCATCTCAGCGGCATTTGTAAAACTTGGCCTATCTAAAAAAAACGACAATCATTAAACACCTCATGTTTCTTTGTATGTACGAGATACATGATTGTTCTTGTTGTTTTGTTCTTTTTCAATGTATTATTTTAAGAATGACGGTTTTGTTTGTTTATTGTTTTTGGTTTGTTTGGTTTTTTTTTTTAAACGAGGGGGGGGGGGGGGGGGCTGGTAGTAAGGATGGGGGCGGGGCGGGAGAGAATACGTATTTGGAGACGCCACTTTCTGGTGTTGCATCACTCACTGCGTATGCCCAATGACCTATCTGTGTAACCCAATTATTTTAAGAATGACGGTTTTGTTTGTTTATTGTTTTTGGTTTGTTTGGTTTTTTTTTTTAAACGAGGGGGGGGGGGGGGGGGCTGGTAGTAAGGATGGGGGCGGGGCGTGAGAGAATACGTATTTGGAGACGCCACTTTCTGGTGTTGCATCACTCACTGCGTATGCCCAATGACCTATCTGTGTAACCCAAGTTAGTATTTGATGAAACATTGCTTAGAAAACTGTGGCGTATGCAGGAAGGGTGGAGGGGATGGTGGTACGCCCCTGGTAGCATTCTTTTTTTTTCCCTTTTAGGTTTGGTGTTGTCAGACAACTGGAGGAGGGCCATCAAAAGGGCTGGCACGCCCAGTGCTGCACTAACTCTAACGACGATACTGCTAGGGAAACCGTTACGGAGTAATTTGCAAGAGGAATGTGACCCAAAAGGTCACCTTAAATTTCAGCCCCTTAAATTAATGAGACCACGTTCCCTTTGCTGGCCTCTAAACGTTATTTTCATTCAATTCTGTTTGGACTGCTGTCTGTTTCGCTGCTGATGAAGTCTTCTCCTAGCCGACACGTTCGTTGTTGTGTTGCGTTTTTTTTTCCCCGGCTTTCCCAATGCTTTGTTTCGCTCATTTTCCATTTAATTCGTGTACATCTTTGTTTTATCAAGTTCCCTAGACGGACGTTTCTACCCAAATTAACAGGCGGCAACGAATAACTCAACCTTCTGTACCTGGTTAAAGAGCCAATCGCTCATTGATGTAATAAGAAACCGCTTGTTATCGAATGCCGTATTCTGTACTGATTACAGTAATACGTAAATATTTTCCAGCTGGAATCTTGTAGTACGCAACTTGCCTTTATTTCGACCATGTTAGCATGGGTTTATTTGATTCCACTTCTTATGGAGCCCAAGTTTCAAAATGTTAATCCTGCGATATATGACCCCCCAGCCCCCTCCCTATCAGATGATAAAAATATTACAACAGCGTACATAATCACTAATCTACTTGTGAATGTAATGAAATTCACCATTATTAAGTTATCCGGAATTTTAGCAGAAAACTAATAAAATCATTTCGTAGAAAATTGGATTCAAATTTAAAATAATAGAGAATGAATATTATTACTCTATCCAAACACCCAACGCACTTTGGTGTGGCTTTTCAGAATTTGCATGCTACTCAGAGCCAAACGTTATTTAATTTCTGCTGGAGGCGAACTCTTAAAATTGAGCCTCCACACTTACATGTAAATTTTTAATCAAGTGCCCCGCCCCCAACCCGAACTATAGCCCCTGTTACCCTACACTCCCCCACACCCCACACCCCCAGGTCTGAAGGACCGCTACCGGTGATACCTGTTCTCCCTTATGTCTCAGGTTTAACCCTTAAGTTTATGGTAAGCCTGCCAATCAACCCCCAAGCCTAATAGCTGATCTAACGTCAGTAAATTCATTCCACTTTAGCACACACTAACCTGGTACATCTGGGAATCGTAGCTCTTCAGTCTCAGCCTCTGAAATGTGACATTATTTTTATTAATTTTTTTTTTTAACAAATTGATATGTTTGAGGACCTACAAGCACCAGTTACATGTTAAAATATGTTTGTCCTCTAATCATCTTAATTTTAGAGTAATTATGGTACAGATCAGGCCTGTACAACTCAAAATGTAAAGTGGGCCGTAACACTGTGTTAAAAACGTGTGCGGGCCGTAATACTTTGTGAATAAGTTGTGCGGGCTGAAAGATGATAGGACTGGTGGAGGGGGAGGGGGGGACATATAATAATAATTAATATTTCGTTACTTCGCGGGCCGCCAAGGGGGTGCTGGCGGGCCACCGCGGGCCGTTGGTTGTGCAGGCCTTGTTCAGATATTTAAAGACGATTGACAGTTTGAGCGCTCGTTCTTGGGCTAGCCAGTCAGATATAATTTAATACAAATTTCAATTATGTGTACATCTTTAAATACGCTATGGCAGTGGTTCTCAGCCTTCCTAATGCCGCTATCCTCTAATACAGTTCCTCATGTTGTGGCGACCCCCCCCCAACCACAAAATTATTTTCGTTGCTACTTCATAACTGTTGAATATGTGTGTTTTTTTTTTTATTCCCATTGGTCTTACGCAACCCCTGGGACAAGGTGGTTTGACCCCCCAAAGGGATCGGGACCCACAGGTTGAGAACTGCTGGGCTATGGTGATGTGAACATTTCCGAGTAGGACACACGTTTCACAATTTGGCGCTGATAAGACAAAGGATTCTAGCGGAGCTGTTAGGGGCTGAATGGTGTCAGACTGGAACATTTTTTCTACTACGATATTAAAACGGCGTTGTGATTCTGAAAAGGGGCAAACTATGATAATCCTCTTTAATGAAAAATGAAGCATTAAATATCTTGCATCTGTAATTTTACTCAAACATTGAATCAGTTCTTACCTTTACTGATTTTAGATTTTCGTTCTTTTGATCTAGATTTTTTATCTGAGGAGTAATGTTATATGACAGGCGTTTAATCAAAAGAAACGTAACAGATCGCCTTAGGACCATTCGGTTATACAACACAATGAACAAGTTGTTCTTCTTTACCTAAATATTGTGGCACAATGTAAGGCGTTTGTCTGTTTTTGTTGTTTTTGTCTGTTTTTGTTGTTTTTGTCTGTTTTTGTTGTTTTTGTTGTTTTTGTCTGTTTTTGTTGTTTTTGTTGTTTTTGTCTGTTTTTGTCTGTTTTTGTCTGTTTTTGTTGTTTTTGTTGTTTTTGTCTGTTTTTGTTGTTTTTGTTGTTTTGCCTTTTTTTGTTGTTTTTGTCTGTTTTTGTTGTTTTTGTTGTTTTTGTCTGTTTTTGTTGTTTTTGTTGTTTTTGTCTGTTTTTGTTGTTTTTGTCTGTTTTTGTCTGTTTTTGTTGTTTTTGTCTGTTTTTGTTGTTTTGTCTGTTTTGTTGTTTTTGTTGTTTTTGCCTTTTTTGTTGTTTTTGTCTGTTTTTGTTGTTTTTGTTGTTTTTGTCTGTTTTTGTTGTTTTTGTTGTTTTTGTTGTTTTTGTCTGTTTTTGTTGTTTTTGTTGTTTTTGTCTGTTTTTGTTGTTTTTGTTGTTTTGTTTTGTTGCTGTTTTTTTTTTGTTTTTGTTTTATTTGTTGTTGTTTTTTTTTTCCTTTTTTTGGGGTGGGGAGGGGCTTATTAACAGTGGAATTCTTAACGTGGTTTTTAAAGATTTTTTGACTGATGAAACGATCAACTGAACAAGTCCAATCATATAAGACTTTAAAATTTAATATAATATTTTGTCTATATGACGCTTTACAGGCACGAATTGATTACAAGCTGTCTGTTCTCTGTCACAACAACGTTTTTTCATGTTTCTGCCCTTCCTATCATAATGAACTTCTTTCTTTGTAT